AATTACACAACCCAGATCCAGTGAATATTATCCTACAACAACTTTGGATTCACATATCCCCTTTAGCACAGAGAGCAATCAACCAGAACAGGTAGAACCACTTGCTATGCCGGCTGGTGTGTCGGATCCTCCAAACATACACCCGTCCACCTTATCCACTTTACTCGTTTCCCCTTTAAAATTGTCTAATAGTCCTTCTTCTACTGTAGAGCCTACTTCGAAAGTGAGTCCCACTAATGAATCTCCTATGACATATTTGCATTCGAATATCCCCACCAGTACAACAATCACTCAATCAGAACAGGCAGAAGCACCTACCCTTGCACCTTCAAACGTTTACGATACTTCCACCACAGCTCAGCCCATCGTATCCAGCTTATTCATTTCAACTCCTGTTTGGTCGAAAGTTTCTTCTACTTTGGGATATACTTCCAGTGAATACGATCTTACGACAACTTTGGATTCGGATTTCCCCATTAGAACAATTTTTACCCCACCAGAACCAACAGAAACGCTCACACCTTTGTCCAAAACTCCCTCAACTGTAGAGCCTACTTCTACAGCGAGTTACAATTTTAGCATTCATACCACAAGTTTGGATCCAAACTTCTCCACCGGCTCAACAGTCACACAACAAGAACAAGAAGAGGTACCTTCTATGCCGGGTGGTGCGTCAGATCTTTCTAGTACAACCACATCCACTTCATCTACTTTGTTCATTTCAACACTCGATTCGCCTCAAATTGCTTCAACTTTAAAACCGAGCTCTAGTGAATACTCTTCTACGACAACTTTGGATCCAAACATCTCTTCCAGTTCAATGATCACTCAAGCAGAACAAGGAGAAATACCTTCTATGCCGGTTGGTGTGTCAGATCTTTCTAGTACAACCGCTACCACTCCAACTGCTTTATTCATTTCAACACTCGATTCACCTAAAATTACTTCAACTTTAGAACCCAGTTCTAGTGAATACTCTTCTATGACAACTTTGGATCCAAACTTTTCCACCGGCTCAACAGTCACTCAACCAGAACAAGAAGTAGCTTCTATGCCGGTTGGTGCGTCAGATCTTTTCAGTACAACCGCATCCACTTCATCTACTTTGTTAATTTCAACAGTCGATTCGTCTAAAGTTCATTCAACTTTAGAGCCCAGTTCTAGTGAATACTCTTCTACGACAACTCTGGATCCAAACATCTCTTCCAGCTCAATGGTCACTCAACCAGAACAAGGAGAAATACCTTCTATATCTGTTGGTGTATCAGATTTTTCAAGTACAACCGCAACCACTCCAACTATTTTATTCATTTCAACACTCGATTCACCTCAAATTACTTCAACTTTAAAACCGAGTTCTAGTGAATACACTTCTACGATAACGTTGGATCCAAACATCTCTTCCAGTTCAATGATCACTCAAGCAGAACAAGGAGGAATACCTTCTATG